AGTCAGTATGATGAATCAAAAGTGTTACTAAAGACATTTATGTAACAAATTCATTCTATTGCAACTAAATTAACTTTGTATTTAAAGGATCATGAAAAAATTTCAACAAAAATATTAAGCAGCACAACATAATTCATGTAATGTCTCTTGAGTAGCAAATCAGCATATTAGAATGATTTCTGTAGGATCATGTGACACTGAAAAATTCAAATAGAAAACTAGAAACAATTGTACTGTTAAAATATGAACTGTTAAAATTTTAAACTGTTAAAATTAACAGTAGTTTGCAATATTACTGTTTTTACTGTATTATTGATCAATTAGACGCAGCATAAGAGACTTTTCTAAGTCGACCCCAACCTTTTGAACAGTACTGTATATTTAAAGTCCCCGTGAACCGGAAGTTGCAAACGATTTTTCTCCAGTGCTGTGACGTATTTCCAAGTGAAACGGAATATTGAACAGAGGGCAGGGTTTTACTCTAGCGCTCCTCCTCTCCATCTCTCGCTCATAGCAGACTAACGGTTTGAGGGGAGTGGTTAAGCGTTTCCCCACCCAAACTGTGAAACCTACGTCATCAGAAAAAGAAACCGTTCCAGACCGGAAGTAACTTTTCAGATTTTGATTAAAGATTACTAAGGTAAAAAAATTTTTTAATATATATATTCACTTGCACGGATTAATTGTTCACCACAAGACTAGTAATATGCGCTAACAAAGTAAATAGGTTCAATTTTGATTTCACGGGGACTTTAAGTGCACAATAAATATTGGTAATGTAGAATGATATCGGAATCATATTGGTGGTCTGCTGATTTTTGTCTTATTTATTGGTACATGTCAATATTGGATATTTCATTGTGCGTGCTAATGTCTTTTATCTGTTCAAAAGTTTGGGATCAGTAAAATTTTTAAAAATGTTTTCAAAAGAAGTCTCTTCTGCTCACCCAGGCTGCATTTATTTGATGCACAATACACTAAAATCTGTAATATTATTAAAAATTTTAATAACAGTTTTCTATTTGAATATATTTTAAAATGTAATTAATTGCAGTGATGCAAAACTGAATTTTCAGCATCATTACTTCAGTCTTCAGTGTCAATCATTCTAAAGGCCTGTTCACACCGGGACGAATTTTGCACGCGATATTCACCAACGTTTAACGCCTCGTGCCTAAACAAAGAACGCCAATGTGAGTGTGCACACCGACGCGGAAAATGCCACGCGTAATTTTTTTTAAACCGCCTCGGGTTCGTTTTTTTAGTTTGACGAGCCGCGTCAAAAGCTATCCGACCAATGAGATTGGCGCTTTTGCTCACATGTTTGGAGCTTCTGAAGTTACAGTAAAACACAACTTGGGGGCGCTCAAACACGAAACGGTCTTGCCGAGCACACATATGTAACGACGAAGAAGATCTACGCCAAGTAGCGTCGCCGTCTACACTGCCAGGAAGAAATAAGACGAGAAAGATGCGAGGCAAGATGAATGTAGAGCTGCTGGTCTCGTTGGTGTTAGAACATAAAGAACTACATGACAAACGCGACAGCGACTACAAAAAATCTCGATAAAAGAGAACTGTTATGGAGTGTTATTGCAGAGGAAATGGGCGCCATCTAATGTCAGGAAACGAATTTGCAGGTTCACACAGCTCATCGTCAGCAAAAATCGCTTGGGTGTGAACACAAAAAATGCGTTGGCAAAACGCTGGCGAATAACGTGCGCCATTATTCGTCCCTGTGCGTACGACCCTTAATTTGTTGATTTGCTCATTTCATTCTTGTTATAAATTCTATTATTTCGAAAAAATAGTGTGGACAAAAAGTATTATATATATTTTGCAGTGTATTCTTCACTATCATCTGTTTTTTTTCCTTCCATCAGTTGAAGATAGTCCACAACAGGCCCCTGACTCTGGGTCCCCGCCTTCCACTGCTGAGTCCAGCCCAGAAGGAACTGAGAAACCCTGGGATAAGAAAGAGGAACTCAAGCGGCAGAAAGCTCTTTTGGAGGAGAGCAGGACGAGGCTGGAGGGAATGAAGAAACAGGGCTTGAGGGAGAGCTTGGTGGAAATGCAGAAGAGACTCTCCAAACAGGTGGACCAGCTGGGCAAGCGCGAAGACTGGAAGAGGAAACACCAGGAGCACAAAGGAGAAAAGAAGGAATGGGGCAGAAAGAAAGAACATGACAGCCGCTGGAAGAAGGACGAAACAGGGAGCGGGAAAGAGTGGAAGCGTGGGAAGGACAAAAGGAAAGACCATCTCAAGAAGTACAAAGAAGAATGGGACCACAAGAAAGATGAGAGAAGGCAGGAGAGGGAAAGAAGACAGAAGGAAAGACCTTGGGAGGCCAAACCTTCCAAGCATCATCATCATCATCATCATCACAAGGAGCAGGTAGACTTCTGGAAACACCAAGAAGAGAAGCTCAGGAGGAACCGACACCCTGCCGAGGGCTGCCATGGCGTATCCAACTGCGCCGACGCCGAGGGGCTTGTTCCTGTGAAGCTCGTGGAGTTTCAGGACCTTCTTGAGATCTACCTAAGCAAACTAGAGGGAGTTCCTCAGGAAAGCAAGGAGTCTCTCAGCCGCCTCACCGCCCAGTTCTTCAGCGGCGGCTTTTTCGCTCACGACAGAATGCTCTTCAGCGACTTTGCCGAGGACGTTGCAGATATCCTGGAAGATCTGGCAGATGGTTTAGAAGATGAGCAGCATGACAATGATTCCCTTGAAGATGAGATGGAGGAGTTTGAGAAAGAGGTACTGTTAAAGTTCGCCGCACCTTTGCCGTAATTGGTGCCGCCCACCCTAGAAACTAAGTTGAACGGATGGGAAAAAACACTAAGTGAAAGAAAACAATCTTAGCTGTTACTTTCCCCGGTCTTTACGGACGGTAGATGTAGTTTAATGCATTGTGTGTGAGGATTCTCCCTTCGGAGTCTTGTTCTTAGTGAAGTCCCACCTGTGTGTTGGGTGTTTTGTTGTAAGCTACCTCCCTTGGTCCTGTTCTTCAACGCCAAACCCTTTGACTCTTGCTTGCTGTGTAAAGAATCAGTCATCTTAAGCATTAAGTGTTTGCACATGAATGAAACTGCTTTACTTGCAGATAGATCAATCACCTAGTACATGTGGAGTTGTGAACGAAATTAACGCTAAACTGGGAAAGTGCAATGAAGAATGTCCCTATTTAGTTACCCGGGGTCCCCAAATTGACTTCAAAACAATAAAATGTAGAATGTCAGGATTTTAATTTTAGTTGTAATTTTGTTTTAGGTCCTGGCTTCTTCTCACCTACCCATGATTGTGCTTACTAAGCTGATGTCAAACTGGTTTCTTTAAGTTTTGAGATTTTAGAGGTCATTGTAAGCGTTCGGCTTCTCGGTTTCTTACCCCAACTCAAGTTCTGCTCGCAATTAATTTAAATTACAAAACAAACTGAATGTTTCTTTATGGAATTTGATATGTTTGATATGGAATGGATTATGTGCCTTTACTAGTGAGCAAAGAACGCTGGTACTGAAATGAATGGTCTGCCCAAAAACACACAACTGAAACTGAACCGGAGAGAGTTTCAATAATTGAGTAGTTTGCACTGTGGTGATGTGGACATTTATTTATATCCTCCTTCTATCTTAGGAAAACAGCCATTGTAATGAATCATCGAGATCATTTGATTATAGCTGTGTTATTGTTTTGCTACACTCTTCTGGAGTGAATACCTATAATTTTTGCCTTTTCTTGTCCAATTTGTAAATATAAGAGAAAAAAATTAATGGAACATATAATTTAAGGTAAGTTATCATATGGCACAGTGATATTTTATTGAAAGGAAACTTAAAACCACTTCAAATGAAAGGTAATACAAGACCAAATGTCACAATGTATCAATTTATGATGATTATTAAAACAATGTCCCATTGCCATGAGAATTCTTCTTTATTAAGGGATTGCATTGTTCATTTTATTTCATTGTTTGTTTACAACGGAACGGACAAATCAGAAATAGGTTTTTCCTTGAGGATTTCTGGTCTCGTTTATATTTTAACCTTTGAAAACCTGTTTAATATGATTAAATGGACCTTTTTGGGTTAATATTCTGCATACATATCATTCACAATCAGTATTGACCTCTAAAACGGATCTGCAGCAGACGTATTAGTGAGGGCTTTGTATGTCTGTTGGTGCTGAGTAAGTTTTGATGGAGTTATCAGATGAAGTTTCCCTGATGACAGATGTTTGGATTGACAACATTAAGGAAACCTGATAGGGCGGGAGGTGTAGAGTAATCAACAGACATGTTAGGTTGAGATTAGAAATAATCACAAACAAATATAAATAGGACATTTTCTCAGAAACATTAACCACTGGTCTGTCAGATATACGCCATATTTTATCTTCTGGATTTCTATAAATGCATTGTGTGTGTGTGTGGTCCTGGTGAAGCCAATGTCGTGAGGATGAAATGTTTCATTTAGACATTTTTGGTCCTTATGAAGACAACCGCTTATAGTTATAAATCATATGGAAAAATACAAAAAGATTTCTATGAGGGGTGTTTTCAGGGTTAGGGAATATAATATACAGTTTTTACAGTACAAAAACCATTGTGTCTATGGAAACTCCTCATAAAACATGTAAACACAATGTGTGTATATTATGGTTTACTTGTGAGGGCCAAATGTCCTTACTTATATAATGAAATATTATGACAGCCAACCACTAGTCTTCACTACGTAAAAAGGCTTCTAAATTGGCCCAAACACACTTTTATTTATAGTTTTGTGCACATTTCAGTGAGGGATGTGTTTAGGGGTAGGGGTTTGGTGATAGAAAATGCCATTAACCTGATCTAAAATCAATGGAAGTCTATTTAATGTCCTCACTAATGTAGAGAAACAAATGTTTGTATGTGTGTGAAAGAGTCTAAACTACTTTTCTATGGAAACATTTAAGCAGGAGATAGATAAGAAAATCCTGACTTGTGAAATGGAGCGGTGGGCGTGATTTTTGGTTTTCTGCTGAGTTTGCCGGTCAGATGAAGAGAATATAAGGTGAAAGGTGGTCATTTAAACACAACTCAAGACAGAACATCACTCCTCACGCCAGGTAAGCCTATGATACTTATTCATTTTTTTTTATTGAATCATTTTTAGTATGCACTGGATATACCTTTTTGGCCTTAACTGGTTAGGGGTCACCTTATAATGAACATCATTGGATCATTTTTTCACATTTTTCTTTGTAAGACACAAAATGACTTACCTAGCAGAATGTTCAAGCTGCACTTTCCCATAAAATTAAAGTGGTGTATCACCATCCACTTTCTCCGTATGTATACAAAAGCTTGGATATTTTGCTAAATATCATGCAGGATTGGAACAACAAAAGGGTTAGATGACATTTATTACTTGTGTTGATTTATGTTTTTTTTTTTTTAATTGTGTTTTAACCTCATATTCACTTGAAATACGGTTATTGTAAGTCTCACACCAGATTTGTCTATTCGAAAGGACTAACCTGTATATGACCTTGTAATCTCCAGCCACCGAAGCATTCGACTCCTAAATCATGGAATCTGCCATTAACACGCTCGTCTCCCAGTTCAAGACTTATGCTGGGAAAGATGGCTCTGCAAAAACATTGAGTAAGGAAGAGTTTCAGAGTTTGGTCACATCCCAGTTACCTAACTTTGTAAAGGTAAGCCTTTTGAGTTATTAAAATGGTCAGTATACTGTGTATATTCCTAAATTCAGGTCTACACTTTGGGATAGTTCGCCCAAAAATAAAAATTCTGACATCATTTACTCACCCTCAAGTTGTTCCAAACCTGTATGAATTTCTTCTGCTGAACACAAAAGAGGATCTGAAGAATGTCGGGAACCAAACAGTTGATGGACCCCATTGACTTCCATAGTACATATTTTCCCATACTAAGGAAGTCGGAATGGGATCCATCAACTATTTGGTTACTGACATTCTTCAAAGTATTTTCTTTTGCGTTCATAAAGAAATTCATACAGTTTTAGAACAACTTCAAGGTGAGTAAAAGATGACAGAATTTCCATTTTTGGATGAACTTGTTATACTATATGGAACCAATTTAGTTCTTCGCAAGAAAAAGGAACCAGTAAATTGAACTTAAAAACCAATCATGTAACATTTAAAAGCTTTTTTTTTCTTCTTACTTTAAATTTCCACAGAACAATAAAACCAACTCAAAATGGTTCTCATTAAGAAGAGGCATGTCTACTAAATCTAAGGTGCTGCAAAGAACTATTCTTTTTAGCAATAGCTACAATTAAAAATATTGAAAGACTAATTTAGACATATTAATAATGTCAAAAACACTAAACATTGATCAAAAATTAAAATGGAAAAACCAATTCAAAACTATTAATACAAATATAACAATTTGAATGATACCAAAGTAACATTGGTGTACAGCATGATGACTTTTACTACAAAAATAATTATTTTACTCTTCTTTTTTTATATAAATATATAAAATTTAAGGTTATTTACAGTGTTTGATCAGCATTCCATGTTGTGAGACTCGAGGGACACGAGGACCATTTTAGAGGCCTGGTGCGAGTTATTAGTAAACCACATCCCAGTCCTCTAAAGAATTCCATGTGAGTCACATGTTTGTGATTTTGTGGAGAAAATAACACAAATCCTTCCTTCAAAACTCTTAAGATTATAGAAAGAACTTACTGCTAGTGTGTACGGAAACAAACCAGCTGCTTTCATTATGTCTTCATCTAAACTATGCCAGAGACAATGGAACAAAAATTGCCACATCAGAGCATTTACTGTTTGGCCCATCCAGAACAGGAACTCCCCCCATGCCCTGACCTAATAGGTCAGCAGAAAAGAATGCAGAGTATCAGTGACGATCACTAGATGGAGACACAATCATTGCAAGTGACTAATTCAATGTGTCCTCTCGCAGAATTCCTCTGACCCAGCCACCATTGACCAGCTCATGAGCTCATTGGATGCGAATAACGACGGAGAGCTGACCTTCCTGGAGTTCTGGCAGCTTATTGGAAATGTGGCGAACCAACATGGCGGCTTTTAGCCAATGAAGAAACATTCCGCAATGCCATTCAATCACTTTAATTTTACCTTGTGACTTCCTGATGTAATTATAACACAGGCCGTGCTGTTGCACAGTTAATGATTCTCCAAGGTGACGGAAAATAAAAGAAAGCTTTCTTTGATTCTCAAGGTAATCTTGTCTTGCCTCTTTATTGACCATGCAATATAAGATTCATCTCACCCATTCTTTTGTGTAGCGCATCTGATTTAATAGCATCATTTATGGTAACCCAACACCACCCCGAGGCTCTTAACTATCACATTGCACGGCGGTTTAGATTTAGATCTTCTAGTCAAAGCCAGTTACGATACGTCTTTATTGACACATTCAGTCCCCAACACAATATAACGCAGGTGCCGGCAGTTGCCTTGCATACAGGTGTGGCTTGAGGAAAGGGCGTTGGTTTCTTTTGGATAATAAGGGAGATTTAGATCTTATTTGCAAGTGCTATACTGAAGTAAACTGAACACACACATTTTGAAAACTGCTTTGAGAGATGCTTCAAGATTTTAATTTGAAACCTTAGCCCAACAATAGACGCTTCATGAGGGGTACACACAATTTTATACTTTTTATGAAATAAAAATGAGTCAAAAGTGAACTTTGTATAGCACAATGGGCGTGATTAAGGCATGACCATAGTCCACACAAAGTGACAGTAGTCATACAAACCACTTTACATAGGCGGTGCCTCTTGTAAACACAGATATAATCATAGTAAAGTTTGGGCACTGGGATATGATTCACTATATGTCTTCCCTGAGGCCTGTTATAGGCTGTCTGGAGATTTATCACAATACAAAGCATTCCAGTGAGCAAGAATCCTGACCATATTAATTCCTGCTGGCATTTAAAAAAATTAAGCACTTTGTTGGTTCTATATTACATGCGAATTAATGCATTAGAGGCAAAATTTGCCCCCTGGAATTGATTTCTAGGAGTTTTTACCCTTATTCTCCACTCATAAACATGTGGAGTCTCATTTATTTATGACATATACTTCGAATGAATAAATAAGAATAATTCAAAATGTTGGCCAATAATATGTCACAAATCTTAAATCTCAAATTTGTCATGCATTGTGTGAAGATTGGACACAAAAAAGCTGCTTCCTTAAATAAATAAAAAAATAACTTGGATGTTTAAGTAATTTCAACTTGAATTACATTACTGACTTACAAACATGAGTTGAATTTTGTATAAGTTATCCAAATAAGTGATTTTAAAGCAATGTAAATATATATATATTACAGTGTACGCAGCTGTCTACCATTATGGAGGATTTTGATCCAGTTTAAGACTACAAAATGTTGTAAAAGATAAAACAATGGGGCATTTTGTCCGAGCCCAGTTAATTTCTGACACTGGTACAAACATTGTGCAGGTAAGGGTTAAAGTTTTTGTACTTCCCACTAAAACTCCAGACAAAACTCTTCGTCCTCATCCACGATTCCCTGTTTAATTTCTAGTGTGAAAGTACATTCACGTTGGCTATGATAATGTTTGATGTTACAGCAGTAGACATCATCAATAAGAAATATCAAAAGCAGCCTATGAATCATCTCAAAGATCAAATGTCCTGTTTAAAACAACTAAAGTTCGTCCTTTAGTTCCCCTCCTCCAGGTACACGCCCTTTCATTTGTCAGAGTCAGGGGCAAAAAAACGTTTACGAAAAAAAATCACGGAAGAGATTCGGCAGAGGTTCGAGTCTGACAAGTTTTTTTTTTTTTTTTTTTTTTTTTGGAGGTAGGGAAGAAAAGGCAAAGAAAAAAAGAGGTTTACTGCAGCTACTGCGAACTGTCAATCCGCTCAGTCCCCATTTTAGGGTAAGTGCTTCAAAATACGTTTCTTTCACATTACAGACTACTTGAACACAAAACTTTAAGTTTTGAACTTGTGAGTGTTTTTGTAAGTGTCAACGCCACGTTTTAGAAACACCCTTCGACCATTCTCAGCCAGCTGAAACTGAAAACATCTGCCGTTTTCGCACACAGTCAACGCGTATCTTTACGAATTTACTGAACTATTCTTCTGTGGTTTGAATCGTTGTTAATCGCAGCGTTTTATTACGACTGTACGCGCCAACAATTACATCATTGATTATGCTGCTGCTGTATTTCATGGTGTTATGAATTTTAAAATAAATATAATAAAAGTTAAATTATTTTACATTTATTTAAAATTGAATATAATGTGCTATTTTGTGATTATAAAGAAGTTGATAGTATTTTAAATACATATTTTAAATAAAAATGCGAACAATGAAATAAAAACATCAAATATAAATATAAAGTGCCTTATATAAAAGATATACAATGGTAAAATCATATTTATAATTGTAGATGCCTATGACATTTTTAAATATTTTGTGCCAACACCTCAAGTCCAAGTCAACTGTCCTTTAACAGAAAAGAGAAGCGTTTAACACGAAAGCTATTTTATCGAAGCGTGATTTCAGTGTGTAGAAAAAAAGAACTACCTGACGATTGTTCCCCACGAGTTTTTATACACTGGCAAAGTTGTTCCTGTGTGAATTTTTAATGGCGCACGCGAGCGGCGGGTATTGTCTTTACCGTGATCGAGCGCGCGCGTATCACGTTCTCCCGTTTGGAAACGCAAACCTTTCAATCTCTTTTGCGCATTGGAGAGAAACGGTACTAGAATGCATGAGTGTCCGTTGTTAAACAGCATATGTCTGCGTCCCCTTTTCCTTTTTCTCCCCCTCTCCTTCATGAGGTTGTTTGCACGGATTTATTTATTCATTTAGTCCAGGAACAGTAAAAGGTCATGTCTGTTTTGGAGAGTCACTTAAGTAGCCTAATGGAAGATCTCTCTTCATTACTTTTTATTAACCATCCACGTGCTGTCTGTCTGAGAGAGTTTTGGGTTAAAGCTTGAGACTGTCTAGGGTAGCACCGCACGGAATCGCCAGGTCAGGGGCCAAAGGCTTTAATAATTCATAAGACTTGACGACTGGCACTGGATAGGGTTGAGACCGAGGGTTGAAAGAGTCAATGGGATCAGTGAACGATGCCTATAGTCACTAGAAATATGATTGTGGGGAGAACTAAGGCGTGTAAGACTTGTGACAACAACACAGCATTGACTTCAACAGAGCGACGGCCTTTTGGTCTAGGGGCCAGGGCGCATGTAGACATTGTTTGTACTGTGTAAAAGGGCTGACTGGATCCTGACTGTACAGTAGGGGTTGTGTGACTCAACTGTATTTTGCCACCTAGGATGCACCATTTCAGTCAGGATGCTGCTTTTTGTGTAAAGGTGCTTATGAGAATGCTGTTTAGGTAGGCAGCTAAGACACAGCCAAGAGAAAGTCACTTATTTTGCTCATTTATAACTACTATCTTTTTTATGACTTAAATTTAAACATACACTGGTTTTATTATTGTCAAAAAATAATCTCATTAGATTACACCAACAAAAAGTACATTTTCAGGGGTCAAATCAGGTAAAAAATTGTGAGTAAAGGTAACAGCTTAACATTGTTATTTGCCTTAATATTGTTCATATATTTTTATATGACACTTTTGTAGCATGTAAAATCTTTTTTTTTTTTTCAGTCAGACCATAAAAACAAAAGTCTTAAAAATCAAAGTTTCAAGAGATTTTTTATAGCGATGCCGTCGAAGAACCATTTTGGGTTCCCCAAAGAATCTTTCAGCAAACAGTTCTTAAAAGAGCCATTTTTGAGTGTGTGTAAAGAACATTTTTTCCTCTATAAAGAACCTTTTGCACAATGAAAAGGTTCTATTGATTTGGAATGAGGTTTTCAATGGAACCATTGATGCGACAGCATTTTAGGGCATCATATGTGCAATGGAATTCAAAACATGTCTGTAATGTCTAGAAAGGCAGCCTGGTTTTGAGACTTAACCCAAATGAACACTGTACAAGTATGTAGGGTTTATACTCAACAGCCAATAGGAAGTATAATATAGTTTATTGCTGCATTGTGACAGTAGCTGAGTGTCTGTGTGCCAAGGAAGTCGAAAACTAGCCTATTTCCTGCACCATTCCACCTGACGCTAGTGTAAAAGAGTCCTTCTCACTTTCGAACAGCCTATGAAACCAGAAACTTTAATATGCGTACTGCGTCATCTCTGTATCTCCTTCTCTCTCTCTCTCTCTCTCTCTCTCTCTCTCTCTCTCTCTCTCTCTCTCTCTCTCTCTCTCTCTCTCTCTTTCTCATTAAATTAGGCTAATGGTCATGTTTCTTAATTGCTTACTACCTGTCGATGTGGTTATTACTACTGATAAGAGGAAACTCTGTGTGAATGTGCGTCAGCTAATTTGGTGGCATTAGAAACCGTCTCGGATGACAAGCACACCTACACAGATTTTGACCCGCAATAACAACCCAAAGGGCTCTTTTGCTGACCGCTGGATGTCACTGTTTTTTTTTTTTTTTTTGTACAGCTTTGTTTGTACAGCTATGCAAATTATAAGGTTCCAAACCTCATCTTAACAAGCAAGCCGTCACTTTCTGGTTACATCTGAATGACTTGCGTAAAAGAGCAATGATTGGAATTTCAAAAGTTGTGTTTTCTATGTCTTTTTGAGACACTTAGTTCTGTTGTTCAAGATTTTATCAATGAAATGAATGCATTGAAACATTGGTTTCTGCATTTTACCGTTCTTACAACAGGATCCTTTTTTATTGGCACTTTTAGAGGTTGTTGACTACCTATTATAATATTTATTAATATTTTTAAATGAGCTTTTATTATTATACTTTAATACTTTAATGTAATTTAATTTAAGTTGCAGTAATTTTGTTATGTTTGTCATTTTTATTAGATTTTGTTGGGGTTTTTTAAGTTCGGTATAGATTTTATTACTTTTTATTTCAGTTTTAGTAATTTTAATACTTTAACTTAAGTTTATGTATTTTAGTTAGATGCCAAGGCTTCATTTTAAATTTCTGTGTAAGCTTAAGTGTTTCATCTACTATTTATATTTCAGCTTTATTTGAATGACAGGAAATGTTTTTTTTTTTATAGTTTTACTTGAACACTTTACAATAAGGTTCACTGTAAAAAAAATATTTCCAAGATTTGTTATCACAACATTTTTTTCTTTTGTCAAATCAACTTAAATAATTTATTTAGTTCAGATAACTTATTTTAAGTTTCTGATGATTAAATCAATCTCCTTCATTGTATTAACTCTTTTTACAGTTACAGTTTTTACTTTTTACAGTTCAATCAACTTAAAATTTTAAGGCAACCAGGTTACTTAATTTTTTAAGTTAAACCAACAATATTTTTTACAGTGGTTAACATTAGTTAACTAACTTAGTTACCATGAACTAAGAATGAACAATACTTCAACAGCATTTATTAATCTTAGTTAATATTAATGTTTTAAGTTCTATTTGTAACATAAGTTAATGCATTGTGAACTAACATGAACAAATAATCAGCAGCTCTATTTTTATTATCTAACATTAACAAAGATGAATAAATACTGTTTATAAATTGAATTGCTCACTGTTAGTTTATTTTAGTTAATACATGAACTAATGTTAACTAATGAATCTTATTTTAAAGTGTTTCCAGTTTTACTTAACAAATAACAACAATACTACAGATGTCTTCACTTATTGTTGCCGCTGCATATATCAAACAGACTTTAATGGAGGTTTTCGGAAAATTACCCTAAAATCTGATCTTCATGCCGAACATAGCTGAGTTATGACCGTCTGCACCTCATCAAAGAATCTGAGTAATGCCATGTCTTCATTGAGGCAAGGCGATTGGCTATTGGCATTTCCTTCGAAACTTTGACAAGCCAGCAAACAATTGTGTAGTGTAATGCAAGAGAGTGAACGTGCGCTTGCATAGGTGAAATCTTACACGCGAGAAGAGAGAGGCTGGTCTTGAAAGAAAGTTAAAAGCAGGACTAAATTCTTTACATTAAAAGAGGTGTGAAGAGCAAGAGGAACAAACTACAGAAAAAAGGAGTGAGCGAGTGAGTGAGTGAGTGAAAGAAGGGATGTTTGAGCTGTCGGTAATCCCTTGAGAAACATGAAGCCGCTGTGTGGTTTGGTCATCAGTAGATCAGATGACCTATCAAAGATCAGGACAGCCACTGGCGACTTGCCTCTTTCTTCTCTCTTCCCTTATCTGCAATTGACTGTCAGTTCTAACCCCCAAGATTTCCATTCTCCACACCCTAGTACACTCTCAGGTACTGTGGCTAGAGAGTTGTCTCTAACTTGTTAAGAGCTTGGCATGTCGCCAACCACCGAATGACACCACTTCTTCTTCGGGTTAGGGTTTGTTTAAAGTATTAAACTTATTTTTACATTACTGTCAATGCATGATGGGATCTATCCATCTATCTATCTATCTATCTATCTATCTATCTATCTATCTATCTATCTATCTATCTATCTATCTATCTATCTATCTATCTATCTATCTATCTATCTATCTATCTATCTATCTATCTATCTATCTATCTATCTATCTATCTATCTATCCATCCATCCATCCATCCATCCATCCATCCATCCATCCATCCATCCATCCATCCATCCATCCATCCATCCATCCATCCATCCATCCACTCCATCCATCCACTCATCCACTCATCCACTCATCCACTGATCCATCCATCCATCCACCTAACCATCCTCCCACCCATCCATCTATTCATCCATCTATTAATCCATCCACCTACCCACCCATCCATCCATCCATCCATCCATCTATTCATCCATCTATTAATCCATCCACCCATCCATCCACCCATCCATCCATCTTTTCATCCATCTATTAATCCATCCACCTACCCACCCATCCATCCATCCATCCATCTATTCATCCATCTATTAATCCATCCACCCATCCATCCACCCATCCATCCATCTATTAATCCAACCACCCACCCACCCATCCACCGATCAATCATCTATCCATCCATCCACCCACCCACCCAACCATCATCTATCTATCCATCCGTCCATCCATCCATCCATCCACTCATCCATTCATCCACCCAGCCATCCATCCATTTATCTATCACATGTTCCCTCAGTTAGATTGCTGTTATCAAAACTTATGTGATTTACTCTTTAAAAACACTAATATATAATTTACAGTTAAATGCACACTACTGTTTAAAAGTGTTTTTGAAATTTAAATTAAATAATAATAAGAAATGTTTCTTGAGCAGCAAATCAGCATATTAGAATGATTTCTGAAGGATCATGTGACACTGAAAACAGAAAATTCAGCTTTACATCACATTACACTTTCAAATAAATTCAATTAGAAAACAGTTATTTAAAATTGTAATATTATTTCTCAATATTAATGTTTATACTGATCAAATAAATGCAGCATTGGTAAGCATTAGAAAATTCCTACTTATCTTTTGAACGGTAGTGTAATATTTAGAAAAAAACAAATATTTCCCATGTTCATACTGTACATTATAATGCTGTGATGCCTAAATTCACTTGTAGCATTTAAATTGATTAATTTTTAGTAATTTATTTCTTTCTTTATTTAAAACAGTAACATTTTGTTGGTCATTTATCGTCCGTCAGACATCTTTTTAATATCCGTGCATCCCTAATGTCAGCTGTCTACTAAATGTTCTTTTCATCTTGTTGTAGAGCGAAAGCAAAGATGGAGGGAGCAATTAAAACCGTGGTGGGTGTCTACCTGAAGTCATCCAAGGGAAAGGAAAACCTCGGAGGAAAGGAGTTCCAGAGCCTCGTGAAGAACCAGCTGAAGAACATTATGACGGTTAGAAGCTGCGTTCAATTTTGTTCAATCTAGCAAAACTTTATTTGAAATTCAGCCATCATTCAGTTACCATATTCGTCTTTCAGTACACTCGATTTTTCCATGGCTACAGGTCGGCCCTGGTCTATTTCTTTTTTGAGCACTTCCTTATTATCTGGACTTTGATGAGCTGAGCAGAAACCACAAACTTGTGTCCAAATAGTCATTTGCCATGAAGAATGCTGCTGTGTTATTTGCTCCGGTGCCACATTAAATTACAGAGGAAAACTTTTAGCAGTGCTCGTTCATCTCACACTGTTTGTGCTACGGACATGAATGATACCTCGGTTCAAGCAGATTGCTGTGGAAAAGTGGGCTATTAATCTTCTAAACAATCATTGTGCCTGCATGGCAGACCATAAACGGGTGAAAAACCACTGTAAACTTGATTTATACATTTAAAGTCACCACGAAATCAAAATTGACTATTCTTTTTTATTCTTCTTTTATTGCAGTTTTTATTATTAATGATTTATCTGTGTACAATACATCATTACTTTTTTAAGCTTCACCTCCTTGCAGTTACTAAATTTCCATCACCCTGCTTTTATGCACATTTTGATGTATCGCGTCAAAAACGAGTGATGGAAACGGCATTTTTTTTTTTTTGGGGGGGGGGGGCGCTTAATTTCGCAAAAATGTTTTTACGCTCGCTTTGGGTGGTTTTTGCGAAAAATAGTTAAAGTGAATAATGGGAGATGGAAACGCATTTGCCAAATAAATTCTGATGTAGCGAACATTAAACCCATGTGACTAATCGGCACCGTCATCACCCGCTCGAACAACTTGATGAAAACGAACCAAATTTGCATTTGTTTGTTTTTTTGCGAACTTTGAAAAGATTCACTTCATATTTGGATGGAAACCCAGCTAGTAGAGACATCTCTTTTTTTTCTTAAGTGTTACTGGCTTGAGGGTGGGCGTGTCTGAGGTGCGACCAATGAACTTTCGTCATTACGCAATCTTCAGTCTTCACGTGCCTTCGCAGGGTTTAACCAGACAGTTACACGACTTCCACCAATCAGATGCATTACTGTGGGATTGTTCAGGATTGTGGGTAATGAAGTACTTATCTAAGACATCGAGAATTAAAGGCATTTATCTTAAAACAAGGTTAGTGCCCCATGAACTTTTGGCGTTTATATTAGAGCCAGACCGATTTATCGGCAGGCCGATATTATCGGCCAATATTAGGCATTTTCCAAACCATCGGTATCGGCAGTTATAATGGCCGATAAATTAATATTTCAAAAATAAAATAAAAACAGACTAAACACGCTTCAACCATGTCATGAGTGTTGGAGTTGTATAAGTTTGTCCACCAGAGGGGGCACTCTACACCGTCCCTGTTGGCAACACTCGTGTATGACGCGCCACACATCCTGTGCATAAAAGTTAGCTTTTCTTTTACACGTGTGTGAAATCCAACGACGCCAAGTGTGCGTTGCAGACTGCCGTTCTGTAATGGATTTAGAATCGCTAAATAGTAGGTTTATCAACTGATGATTGAAAATGGTTTGATGTAGCTTGATAAAAAGTGCAGATAAAGGGATAAGCAAGCTGACATTGTAATTATAAGGTAGCTTATAAGGCAATATAGGGACTAATTATTATTTTATTTATCAGAACTTTCATATATTTTGATTTTCCTCTGTTCTGTTGTGACAATAAAAGAAACAAGTTTCTTTTTAAAATGCATTATCATATTATTTTAGTTAAAACTCATAAATAACTCAAAAATAACTAATGTTAGGGAAATCTGTTAGTGTTTTGTTGCACGTTTCTGAATATTTTATTTTTTTTAAATATCGGCCGATATATCGGATTTTAAACCAAAAATATTTGTATCGTATCGGCCTTCAAAATCCTTTATCGGTCGGGGTCTAGTTTATATGAGCATATACAATCGCTTAGTACAGCCATAGCTGGTTTTAAGTCTACCATGTATGGTTACGTTTTTATGGCTTATATCTCAACTGTCAATGGAGAAATTGTATTGAATTCTTACTTCCGGCAACGCCTGTGGGCAGGACTGTGATGCTCTGTAGACAAAATCAAGTCTGACCCTACATTTTTTCTTGCTCAAGAAGCCGTTTCACTCGGATATACATCACAATAAAGAAAAGACTTAGCCTATAGCCTCATTGGCAGCCCTCCGACATGTTGCACAATTGTCCTTTGGGTGATCCGAATTCGAAATCCCAACTCGTGGATCTTCCCCAGACTGATCAGACTTGTAACCACATAGCAACATGCTAAAACCCACGTTGTTTTCATGAGCAAAAACATTATACATTTTTTACAGAAAGTTTTTAGAATCTATTTAGGAGTGATGTTGCATCACTCTATCACCATCAGCAGTTTAAACCATTTAAATGACAATCAATACAAGCCGCAAACCTGTAGCATGAGTGATTAACATCTGAGGAACTTTGTGTTTAGGGCGCAGAGGACAATGAGGCAGTTACAAACATGCGTCAACAGCTTGACAACAACCAGGATGGGAAGGTCGGCTTCCAGGAGTATATGAATCTGATTGGCTATCTGGCGCAGGCTCTCAGCAACCAGCGTTGTTTGGAAAAAGAAACGCAAGCAGAGAGTTCAATCCAGGAGACACAGCCTGAGGCGGCAGCCAATGCACAGGCAGAGCCACAGGCGGCAAAGGAGGCGGAGAAAGAAGACAAGCCAGTGGTCGAGAAGGCAGCGAATCCCGAAGAGCTGAAGCCAGAGGAAGAGAAAAAAACAGATGTGGAACAGGAAGAAGCGAAAGCTGAAGAGAATAAAGCTGAAGAGAAGATCAAAACTGAGGAAGCGTCGTAGAAGCTTGAGGAAGTCCAGATTGTCGCCATTCAAATGCTTCTGTGTTTGTTTTATTTGTCATTTTCATTATTGTGATATTTTACTACACACATTCGAAACCAATACACTACCAATTTTATTACTACACAGAAGTGTAGCCTTCTTAATAATACTAATTTCTGATCGTATGCAAATTAGTTCGTGCCTGTGATTCATTTTTGTAATATTAGTGTGTGTGTGTGTGTGTGTGTGTGTGTCGACAGCCGCAAATGTGACAAATGGCCAAAGGGGTGCAATACCTGATCATTATGTCCTTATGTTTGAGCCAGATTTGTTGTAAGGGTACTGCAACCACTGTGTCCCCTCTCCAATATCTCCACAAAACATCCGTGAATGAAGAACAGACATCGGTTTTATAGCTTACATTTAGGCATTATTAAGTATGTTTGTGCCACTCTCTCAGTCGACTTCGGTGCTAGTCGTAAATGTACTATGTATTTTCCAGTGTTGCAGAAGTGTAAAAATGGCACTTTTTGTTTGATGAATTGCCCTTCTGCAGGAATTTAACATATTCCGTCGCCATTCAAATGTGGGACTTGCGTTTGTGGCGCACATGGGAACACTATGCAGTCCACATAATATGTTGTTCACATTTCCGGGCCTTGTTTGCATGAGAATAAACAGATTTGCTTTTAAATAATGTCATTTTTCTGGCATGCTTTCTGCCTTGTGTACTTGGATCTAACTCTCTCTGACATCCTCCAGTAGCTGACTTTCACATGCTGTCCATCTTAGTGCTTCGTCTCAAGAGCTGGAATATTAGATGCTTAGTGTGCTTATGATAGCTGACGCTCAATAATTAAAAGCCTTTTGAGATGGAATCCACACCAGGGGACCCTTGTGGCCCCGCGGGAGCCCCGAGTCATCCCACAGTATTGGTTCACTAAGGTTAGACCCCTGAAGACAGTTAATAAGATTGATATAGGAATCGCGCTTCAGTAATCACTCATTCACATAGGCATTCATTCTCTCAAACTTTAATTTAACCATATTCGCCTCCACATATTTAGCTGTTTTACTTTTGTTTTTTGTTATGTCTCTTAAGTCCGGAAATGGCTTTTACTAAACAGCTTTGTAAAGATTAAATGGCTTCACTTATATTTTGCACTTTTTAACACATATAATACTTGTGAAATGATCACAACTAGCATGCTAGCATAATTACCACATCGATAACCAGATAACATATAAATATGTAATTGTGGATTAATTCCATAATAAGTCATTTTTTAACTAATAGTGTTAATTAAAATGTTAATTACCAGAATGAGCCAAAGCCTTGTATTTCAACTTCCAGATAATACGACAGGTACACTAATATGCATTAATACATGATTAATTACTTCATTGTTAGTGCAAATTCATGTGCAAATTACTACAATTACTAAATGGCTAGTTAATAATGATGTGCCCCAACAAGTAAAGTCATATCATTATATTAAATGTCTTGAAAAGACTATATTAACATAATAATTAACCAGTTTCACTTATATTTTGCACTTTTAAACACATATAATACTTGTGATATGATCACAACTAGCATGCTAGCATAATTAGCACAACGATAACCAGATAACATATAAATATGTAATTATGGATTAATTCAATAATAAGTCATTTTTTTAACTAATAGTGTTAATTCAAATGTTAATTACCAGAATGAGCCAAAGCCTTGTATTTCAACTTCCAGATAATAAAACAGGTACACTAATATGCATTAATACATGATTAATTACTTCATTATTAGTGCAAATTCATGTGCAAATTACTACAATTACTAAATGGCTAGTTAATAATGATGTGCCCCAACAAGTAAAGTCATATCATTACGATACCTTTGCAAATCATTGGGTAATGATTAATTAAAGCAGACAACTGGAAGTTGAAGTGCATAGCTTTGACTAATTGTGGTAATTAACACATCGAATTAATAGCAATTCATATTAAACATATCGACTCTATTAGTTGCTGATGCAGTAATCATTAATTAATGGTTTAGTTCTTCATGAGTTATACATTAACTCATGATTATCTGTGCATTAGTTAAGGATGAATTAATGCATATTAGTGCACCCGTATTGTAAAGTGTTACCATTAATGTTGTATCCCATCATGTACTGGACAACCTATGTGACAAAAACCTGATGAGGAACCTTATCTTACTTTTCCTTGAATTTTTCACCAATTATCAATGATTCAATGAATTTTGATATCGCATCTAGTGTAAAGTCATGAGACATTTATGAAAGCAATAACATGGAAGAAGAGACAAATGCACAGGTATAGCCATTAAAGCACCTTACATAATACATACATACTACATTATGCATTATACAGATATGTCAGTGAGAAATCCTACGCTGCCTAAAAAGGGCTCATTTAGATCATGCTAATGAGCTCTCGTTTATCTCATGCTGTCATGTATATCCTGGCCATCTAAAACCACCTCTTTACTTTGGTGTGTCTGACTCCAAATCAGTCGTGTCTGGTGTTGCTAGGCCTCATTAGCATTATAACGTCATCACACCATATGAAGTTCGGCTAACACTCACGTTAGTGTAAAACTGAAATGCTAATTCAGGTTTGTCAGTCAAACAGAAGTAGTTTCCAGCTCTACCAAGGTAACATAAAACTGTCTTTTGAACAAATGCATGAGTTTTTCATTAAGTGTAGCTTCTCGACACTTCTCAACTGACCACATATTTAATTTTCGATGCTGTATGATTGACCATCTCCAGCTACTCAACAATAAAGGACTGTAATGCAAACTCCACTGGCCTGTCGAGTCTTCTTGTGTCGAGTCAACTGGCATGACGGGGTCAAATGGCCCTTATATTGGCAGGTGAACTGAAGGAAGAGAGTATGGGAGGGGTGCAGAAACTGAAGATGCGAGAGATGCTCTTGAGAAAGGAGGGGGCAGAGTGAGTGATATTTAAACCCCAGAGGTTCTCTCTCTCCCCTCATCTGTTCCTCGGCTCTCCGGCTGTCTATCACTATCTCCTGCACTTCATTACAGACAAAGGAAGCTCTCCGTAGGCATTCAGGTAAGACAGACAGCTCAGATGGGAGAAAGGACTCCTTTCTCTCACAGCAGAAAGCTAATTAATGCTCTTCCGGATTGGATTATCTACTTTTCTGCTAGTCTTATTCAAATATGTTCATAGCTCAGTGCTACTATTGTGAAGTTCTAGATATAGATACAACCATGAATGTCTAGTCTTCAAAGTTATACTAATTTAAAGTCAATTAGAATCTATCTATCTATCTATCTATCTATCTATCTATCTATCTATCTATCTATCTATCTATCTATCTATCTATCTATCTATCTATCTATCTATCTATCTATCTATCTATCTAGTGCCGCATGAATACAGGCAAAGTGAAATACTTTTTGTACATTTTAAAATATTTCCATATACAAATATAATCCAAGAATTTAAATATCCCACTTTACCTGTATTCACCATGCATGGCAATCCTTAATATATGGTTATGTCATTGATTTTGATTCATGTAAATGTCCTTTTTGGGTCTATATCATCAAATGAGTTAGATTTCGATTAAAACGCATTTGTTCGTATGCAAATAAATGAATCTCTTCTTCTTTACATGTCAAAGAACGGTCAGTTTCCTCAGTGTCACTAGGTCACTTGGTGTTACGTTTCCTTTCTCATCTTGGTTGTCATGGCCTCACCGTGTCCGTTCTATTTTGATACGGCTAATGAGGATGCGCTTCTTGTTTCTTTCTGTCCTACAAAAAAAAAAAAGTGCCATCATTTCAGATTTTAGCTTACTTTTTTCCCCAATTGTCTTATGTTCTATCTTATTTTTCCTTATAGCCGCTTTGTCCGGATTTAATGGCTTTGCGGGACATTAAATCTATTCTGACCTTTCTAGTTAGTGTCCATTTCATGAACAATGGTTCTCGGTTTTAGTTCCTGAGAGTTGTAGAGTTCACCACAATTTGTTCCAAATCCGCATGTGGCCATTTGAGCTTCCTAATTAGGCACTCTCTTAGCTCAGCTAATTAGTTAAATTAGATGGTGTAGTTCTACAAATAAAGAGCTGAGCGCAAGGCCTCAGAGTAATCCCAGTCCAAAGTCTCAACAATTATGCTGCTCTTTAGGACAGACATCTAAGAAATGGGACAACGATAATGCATTTTACCATTGAACTGATCTTGATCCATTGGTAAATAGTAATTTAACAAAATACTGTCTAATCCTTTCTTCTTCATTTTAAACTATTTGTTTTGGTTCTCATGATACTTTCTTTCACTTAATTTTGCCCTCTATCCTCAGAATTAACTAATGGATTTGCTTTAGGACAGTTTCAGGTGCGTATTGTGTGTGTTTGCGTCTTCACGAGAGCCTCGGATTACTTGGAATTACAGCTTCCCTGGGGAACTTGCCAGTAGTTTTATCTTCATTTTGACAGTTTTATGTTTCACTTGTGGTTTCCATTTGAGAGATGCAGCCCCTGTTACATGAGCAACAGATGATTTCGCTGTGAGCAGGCAAGCGTTCACATACAACTAATGAGTGTTCAAGACAGAATACTAGAACAATTTATCTAATCATGATTAGGATGTACATATAAATGCACCTATACTCTTAAAAATCAAGTTTCCAAAGTTTTTTTTCTTCTTCAATTTTTGTGGTTCCCCAAGTGTAAAGAACCCTTTCCACTATAAAGAACCTTCTACGCAATTGAAAGATTAATGGATGTAAAAGGTTCTTCATGGGGAACCATCGACGCCATTAAAAAACCTGTATTTTTAACGGTGTATGTCTCTCATAAAGTGCCAAAACTTCCACTTAGAGGTCTAACGTTACCTCTCTTTGTATCCGTGACATCAAAATTACATGTTAAGTTGGTTTTTTGAAAACTAAAAATTCAAAAGTTCAGCCTTCCGTCAGTACTTTTGCCAAATGCTGTTCATGCTCTTTCTCATCTTCTGTTGCACCTCATCAATGACTGTGTCTGTTTCTACATGTGCAGTAGCTTGCTGAACCCGGAGAGAGAAGATCCAAGATGCCACGCTCAAAGTGTGATGTGTAAGAATGTTGCTTTTTGAGTGACAAACCCCTAATCAGAACCTCTAATTTCCCTCTGAATCAAATCAAATAACCCCCCCAAAACAGTAAGGATATTATCTCAAACAAATGACTAAGAGAACATTGTTTTCACCCATAGTCCAAAACGTGTGTTTGTGCCAGCATTGATTGAGCCAAAGCTCCGCCCATGCTAGTCATGTGACCATACATGCAGCAGGGTCTAGCGAGGGGCGCGTCATGTCGTTGTATCTAACGCTTGAACTTTTTAACCAATTTACAGCATGTCCAAAGAACCAAGCACCAACTTGGAAAGCGCCATGCAGATGCTCATCAAGACTTTCCATAAGTATTCCGGGAAGGAAGGAGACAAATTCACACTAAGCCGAGGGGAACTAAGGGAACTTCTGACGGAGGAGCTGGGAAATTATCTCGGGGTGAGAAGGATTATGCATAATTTGTATCTTTCATATACTGGCAGATTTCAGCAAATGAGATATTAACCAAAAAAAGAGGGCGGGGCTTGATTTTATCCTTCAGGATTTGATTGGATCATGCAAAGTGGGTGTTCCAAATCAGAATGGAAGCATGGGTTTGGAAGGGAGGTGTTAAAAAGTTACAAAAACGAAAAAGAAATTTGTCTGAATTATTACGCACCAATTCATTCTAAACGAAATTGAAATGAAATAGTAAATAAATCCATTTCAATTTACTATTGACTTCTTCAAAATAATATAATAATATCATCCCCCCCCCCATTGTTAAAATCTTTCCACATCAATTCTTCACAACTTCTGCAAAACAGATTAATTTACATACCTACTAAAATGAATGTGATACAACCTGTCACACAAGCTCAGATTTGCATTTACTGCAAGTTGCAGAAACGCCTAACTTTTTACAGATTCAGTGATCGTGTAGCCTATGTGATTTAGCTTCTGGCTCTTTCAACTGAAGTGCACATACATTCCCTGTCATTAACATCCCAGAGTTCCTCCTACACACTTTGCCATAAAAATTTCTACTCAACTTAAAGAATTTTCAGGGTTTGAAAATAAAATGACCAGTACATATTGTCACTTTCGCCCCATTTAGATTTCTCTTTTATACATATTTAGCACATCTACTTTACATAAAAACGTTCCAGGACATTAACCGTTGAATTTACTGACATTTAATTTAACCCATGAATTCTAATTCTAAAAATCGAGTGAAAAACCTCTTTATATTAGCACAGTAGATGTAGGGACCAGTAATGGATAGTAGCTGATTACATGTAATCTGGATTACATGAGACTCCAAAAATGATGTAATTGTAGTTATTCGATTCTATGTTTTAAAAATCTTGTAATCAGATTACAGTTACTTTTTTATTCATACTTTTTTACATATAATTCCCATTAATGTTGATTAATGGTCACAAGACATGCAGGTAAACAGAATATAATTGTTATTTTTTTATCAGCTCCTTCACAAACCCTAATTTAGGAAACCCTGATGTAATGCAATGTTTAATGGACTTCATGTTGTTGACAAAGAATGGAATATTTTTGGAATGGAATACATTCTCTTTGTATTTTCATTTCAATGTGGTACAATATGAACATCAAAAGTAATATAAAAGTAATCCAAAAGTAGTCAAATTACACCACCTAAAATGTAATCTAATAGATTACATAACTTAAAATTTCTGTCATGTAATTAAAAGTATAACTAAAAATTGTAGTTTTAATATGTAACAAACTACAATTCGTATGTAATCCATCCACCCAGCAATGATTAAGCCTTAATCGTACAGACGTTTCTTACAGTGTTTTGATAATCACTTTAAACTTTCTTTTTGTCTTCCCACAGAACGCTCAAGATAAAGATGCGGTGGAGCGAGTGATGAATGACCTGGATTCCAATAACGATGGCGAGGTGGACTTCACCGAGTTCATCATCCTCATGGGGGCGCTGACCGTGGCCTGTAACGACTTCTTCCTGGACAGCCCGGCGCCCAAAAAACCCGATGGCAAGGACGATGCGGCTAAAACAGAGGAAAAGAAAGAGTAATGAGCAAATGCTTCAAAAACAGAGAGAGAAAACTGAGAGTAGTATTAGGTTGCATGGTTGAGAACAAGAGAGTGCACAAATTTCATCCATTTCTGTAATCAGAACCGACAAACCTAGTTCCTGGGGGAGATTTCTCTGCTTTTATAATTCAACACAAGCTGTTAATACACTTTTAAAGCAAAACTGACAAACCCTCAAAGGCAAAGGCTTGGGGGTTTGACAGAAACGCACATCAGTGCAACTATTTTCTTTCGAAGTTCTTGAGTACAAGGCGTTTAAAAATCTTTCAGGATGGGTGCCTTCTGTTTCATATGAGAACACATGACCACAGACATTATATCTGGCTATATAGAGTCTGTTTTTGGATGATGCATAACAGCAAAGTGTATTATGAGTGGAATCAGTGGCTACTTACTTGTAAGTGTCAAAGCCTGTTTGGAGAGAATGGGATTGGAGATGTTATGGACAGTTATGAATGCTCATTTTTAATAATCCTGAACTGTGACTTGACAAACAGATGTTGAGGGATTTATACTTACATCTTTCATGATGATATAATTATAAATACCCTTTACTGTTGACAGCAAGCAATTTACTTCATGGTTACCATATATTCCGAACAGTGTTCATGATCTATGAATCTAATAATTCAGCGTTGAAGATGTGAACTTGGTTTGTCTCTTTCTTTGCATCTATTTTTTAGCCTATTTTTATTTAATAATCAGTATGTATCTTCTTAATTATAATAAACGTGCAACTGACCTCCATGCATTTGTCTCATGTTTTTTTTTGTACAGTGATTCTTCATTTTTCATAAACATGTATAATATTGGATGTAACAAACAGATTTCAAATATCATGATTTGTTATCATAACATTTTTTTCTTCTGTCAAATCAACTTAGATCATTTATGTGGTTCAGATAACAAAATATTTTGAGTTTCTGATTATTAAATCAATCTCCTTCATTGTATTAACTCAATTTTTCAATTTCAGTGAACTTAAAAGTTTTGAGGCAACCTGATTACTTCTTTTTTTTTTCATTTTTCAAGTTAAACCAACAATATTTTTTTACAGTGTGTTATGATTATTGATCGATTAGTTTCGTTTAGTTTACTAGCAGTGGCTGGTTACATAAATTGCTTAATCTTAATCTAATTTTTCAGTTTACTTCATAAAAAAAAGCTATATTGGTCTAATTTAAATCCAAAAAGTAAGACTCAACTGTAAAAAAATATTGATGGTTTAACTTAAAAAAGTAAGTAACCTGGTTGCCTTAAAATTTTAAGTTCATTGAACTGGAAAAAGTGAGTTAATACAATGAAGGAGATTGATTTAATCATCAGAAAATCAAAATTGTATGTTATCTGAACTAAATAAATTATTTAAGTTGATTTGACGAAAGAAAAAAATGTTGTGATTACTACACTGTAAAAAAATATTGATGGTTTAACTTAAAAAAGTAAGTAACCTGGGTTGCCTTCAAATTTTAAGTTGATTGAACTGGAAAAAGTGAGTTAATACAATGAAGGAGATTAATTTAATAATCAGAAACCCAAAATAATAAGTTATCTCAACTAAATAAATTATTATAAAGTTGATTTGACAAAAGAAAATATGTTGTGATAACAAATCTTGAAAATATTTTTTTACAGTGTTGGTCAGATTAGTTCTTAAGACACAGTCTTAACTTTTTTCAAATTGTTATTGTTTATCACTTTATTATTATTATTATTATTATTTCAAATACAAATGAATGTGAATGAGTTTTTTTTTTAATTCACACACACCAGATTTGATATTATATTATATAATGCTTTAAACCAGGGACACACGTAAGGCCGATTTTTATTTAATTTGATACTTACGACTGATCATGCCCAAGCGCATGGGTCAGAGACAGCAAGGCTGGTGTTTTGAAAAGTGTTCAGTGTGTTCAGTTTAGTCTTATGTTTCAACTAGTCGTGAAGTGATTCCCTGATTTCAGAATAATTGTGATTTGTTTTAATATTGATAGTTAATATAGTTTTATGGACATTTATAAAAATATTAAAACACCTTTTAATAAATAATATTTTTAAAACAAAAATATATTTGGTATTTTTAGGTAAACTTGATCAAAAGTAAATCTTTCTCCAGAAAATATTTGTAATAAGTTATCTGACACAATTGTAATTTTGGAAATATACTTTATAATATTTTTTTTTTCTTACACAGAAAATCAAAAAGTTTGAAAACTGACCTCCATACATTTGCTTCATGTTCTGTGATTCTGCATGTAATCTCTTATAAACATTTATCATTTTGGATTTAACAAATTATTTTCTGTTATGATTTTTATAGTTTTTTAAAGATTTCAGATACTAATCCAGTTACCCATATAAATACTATGTACTTATTTTAGTAACTACAATTACTGGGTAATAACTAGTACTAACCCTGAACCTACCCTAAACCTATGCTTTCATTATCTCAAGCAGATCTAAAATCGTGAAAGTAATTGTGATTTTGATTTTTAACCGTATAGGAAAAATATGTGCATATAGTTTTGTGAACATTAAAATTATTTAAAAAGATGTATTTTTTAAAATAGGCTACAATAAATGTCATAAAAGGTAATATTTTACATTTGCTTTTTGGCAATATAAAAGCAAGTAATTTGACATAATTGTATGTTTTTAATGTTAATTTGGTTGTCTTTAACTGAAAAAGACTCATGAACTATTGTTAAATGAGTCATTCTGTCTGTTCCAGCAAAGGTGCATCAAACAGCACAATCTGATCATGCCGGAAACAATGGCATATTTGCAGATTTAACCTTTGAGTCCCATTTAGGAATTGTTGAAGAAAAAGTCAACCGCCTTTACTCCAGTGAAGTGCAGTAGGCAAAACCTAGTTTAACCGTTGACTAATGTCCAAGATATGTAATATAAATCCACAAGAGTGGGGATTCCCAGTAGATGTGTGTAAATACTCCGCAGGTGCTTGCTTGAGCACATCCTGGACTTGTTGCTCACTTCCGGCTCAACCTGTTCGACCTGATCCACTGGCCATGTTTACTCAGGCCCGTAAGAGAGAAACAATAAGCAGAAACTAACAGTTGTGTTTGAACACTGCACAATGTCTGTGGTGATGCTGCATTCATACTTCAGAAGCACGTTAGTGTTAAGCTCAGAGCTCATCACTTGATTCCAGACAGTCATGTTGAATCAATTATGTATGGTATCTTTCATTTCAGTGATATAAGCATTTACTGGTTCATGTTACAACAACCGATCGCATGTTGTTGTATCCATTTTGCTCTGCTGAATATGCATATGAATATGAACTGCATAACCTCATGTCATTCACTGAGTTAGATCAGATATGCCTGCACATGTAATGGCAGTGACATCATCATATTCAGCATGGCTTTTACAAACCTGTGGTTGATACGGGAAGCATGTCGTGTATGCAAATAATCCATTGTGTAGAAATGTTTAACTCTTTTCTCTCTTCACCATTGTTGCAGTGCTTTTGTATTTTATAGCTTATTCACTGACCAAATTACTACCTTAATCTTTGCGTTTTTATATAGAACTGTCCAAAAGTTCTATGATCAATGCTTCATTTAGTTAAAAAAACAAAGTAATAATGTGAAATATTATTACACTTTTAAAGTAATTGCTTTCTATTTGAATAGATTTTAAAATGTAATTTATTCCTGTGACGCAAAGCTCATCATCATCAGTCCAGTCAGTGTCACATGATCCTTTAGAAATTATTCTAATATGCTGATTTCAAAAAAATTCTAATTATTAACAATAAAAGCAGCTTAATATTTTTTTTGTGCAAACAGTGATGCATTTTCTCATTATTATTTAATAAATAAAGTTCAAAAGAACTGCATTTATTTAAAATAGAAATCTTTTTTAACATTACAAATGTCTTAACTGTCACTTGTGATCAATTTAATGTGTTCTTGCTGAATAAAAGCATTAATTTCTTTAATATATATATATATATATATATCAGTGTATATGCATGTAATATTTTTGACAGCTAATATGTGTAATGTTTCATATCTTATTAATTCCTTTATTGCCACACTAAAGCGTTCTTATGCCGTTATACAGAAATACAGTAATTCTGCTTTCACACAAACAATTAAACCAAATAAATAAACATGTATGAAGCAAACCTAGTGATTTTGTCTATATTAGTCTTCCTCCGCACACTCAGGATAGTGACAGTCTTCTGGCCATGCATGGCTGAGGGTGTTGTGGCAGCTTTGATGTGGTGGTGTCACATGACCTGGTCCAGCAGGTAACTGTAGTGCTCCATGTCACCGTTATCTGGCTGTCTGGACCAGCCCTGACTGACACCTCAGCTTACCTCACGCGCTGAATGTCTTCACCACAGTCTCCATCTCTGCTTCTGACTCTCTCACGACAGATGTCCACCCGCTGATGATCTGTACTCATGATAACAGCAGTGTCCATATCAGTGTAATACATGCAGACAAACATGAACTTCCTACACAATAGAGTGGATGCTCACACATTCACAAGCAATGATTCGCTCAGCATTATAAAGATTCCCTTTGTGAAACTGTTTGGCATTTTAGGGTAAATGTTACGTAAGATTTAGAATAGATATAATAGATTTCAAGCATGTCCAATACATCCTCATACTTTTTTGATATTGGACAGTAAAAAGCTACTACTTCAAAAATAATAAAAATGAGATACAATTACGCTAGGCAAAATAGTAAAATTATACAATTTTTACTATTAGTAAATTATACTATTTTGCCAAATGTTTTGGACAGCCCGCCAAATCATTGAAATCAGGTGTTCCAATCGCTTCCATGGCCACAGATGTATAAAATCAAGCTGCTTCTACAAACATTTGAATAAAAGAATAAACAAACAAAAATAACGACTTTATTCGACTATTCCTTTTCTTCATTGTTGGAGTGAAGAAAAGGAATAGTCGAATAAAGTCGTTATTTTTGTTTGTTTTTTCGCACAAAAAGTATTTGTGTCGCTTGATAAACTTATAGTTGAGTCACTGTAGTCACATGGGATATTTAAACATTTTCTTCATTGACTTTCTGGGCCGTCAACAGCCAGTCCCTTAGGCAGCCAATGTGGTAGTGAGACAGCTCTCAAATTTAATCAAAAATATCTTCAATTGTGTTCCGAAGATGAACGAAGGTCTTACGGGGTTGGTACAGCATGGGGGTGAGTAATTAATGACTTAATTTTCATTTTTGGGTGAACTAACCCTTTAAGCATGGCCCCTTCCTGTTCTAACATGACTTCACACTACACTCTTAGAAGAAAAAGGTTCTATATATATTCTATATTCTATATCAGCGCTACATATTTGGAACCCCTAAAAGGTTCTATACACTCATACAAAAAAGGGTTCCTCTGGGTTCTATATAGAACCCTGGGTTTCCGTACTTGGCCAATAGAACCTTTTACCAAAAAAAAAAAAAAAAAAAAAAAGGTTCTATATAGAACCATTTTGGAGTTCCATATATGAAGCGGGGGATGGAACCATTTCTGGTTCTAAATAGAACCATTTCTTCTAAGAGTGTAGTGCATAAAAGCAGTTTGGTGTGGAGGAACTTGACTGGCCTGCACTGAGTCCTGACCTCAACTAGATAGAACACCTTTGAGAGGAATTAGGAGACTGTAAACCAGGCCTTCTCGTCCAACGTCAGTGCCTGACCTCACAAATGCGCTTTTTTAAAAACCTTTATTTAACCAGGACAGAAGA